CACCTACTTATAAGCTCTTTGTTGCGTGTGACAACTCAACACTTGACATAATTCGATACAATTATGATAAAAAGCAATATGATTTAACAATATTTTTACTTTCAAGCGAAAATGTTAACTTTTAAATTTTCATTGTTTCTGGAATCTTCTATAAAATACTGACAATATTTGAAGAGCGGTTGGAGAAGAATCGAGGAACGTTTCGAAGACGTATTAGATGCGTTGTTTTCAAGCAGCGCGTGTCGCGCGCGGACTGCAGCCGCCGCGGCCCGCGCCCTGCGCCGCGCCGCCGCCCGCGCGCGCCCGCCGCCCGCCGCCGCCGCAGCCCCGCGCGCACTCGCGCCGCCGCTGCTATGTGGGCTGCGTCGCCAAGCTCGTCGATTCTTTCTTAATTAATTACTCTTAGTATTTTGTAATTATTTGACTCTTGATCGTTAGTAAACATAATACGAAATAAAAGCATTTGATTTCCATGTCACGGTAGCTTATTTGATTTCGTTGAATACATCATTATAAAACTATTTGTTTGTGATAACATACTTCGAATTGTAAATGATTGTCGTTGCAGTCGCCGGTGCAGGAATCCGCACTCAGGATACGTCGAATCATAAGGAGGTAGACAGGGGATACGTTCTTATTTATTATGATATAAATAAAATGAATAAAAATATAAATAAATGTCATATTTAATCGTGCACATGATGATGAGATGCTTAAGATCTAACGTTACATTAGGACTTAAGATGTTTGCCAATATTATGAGTAACAAAATTGTTGAAAAATAAATAAATAACATAAAATGAAGATGGCGCGTTTTATAATGGTTTTATACCTTCGATGAAATATCGAGGAATTGGAAAGCAAAGACGATGTAACTAGGCACTATCCGTTTATTATACACAAATTCCGCTATAATACATATTTACAAACGTAAAAACGAATAGAAAACGACACAAATAAAAAAGTTTGAGCGAGGTCGGCGCCGCCGCCTCCTAACTACTAACATCGTCAACGTAACACTAAATAGGAGAGTGGCGGTCGCGGGC